TACAGTATTAAGATCAAATATATAGCAGTTCAGCGTTTCTATGAGTCATGTTGACACATTCAAATTATCAATGCCTTAGATGCGAACATCAGAATCTTTTTAATTTTGCAAGTGGCTTGTATATAATGATATATCTCCTGAGGAAATACAATCATTTTCCATAACAGGCAGTTCCATGAAGTTATCAAAGTAATGAAATTATTTTTGAATCAGTGTAGATATAAATGAATCAATTATGATAAAATTGAAGATAATAGTTCTAGCTTCAATAAGATTGATGTCTCTTCATTGGAGTTTACGTGGTGTTGAGCAATGAATATATATTAGCTAAGTAGAATATATAATTTTTAAATTTTATTAACCGTGTGATTATGGGGTTGTCAATTTCAAGGAAAAATTCTATCACGGTATTAAAAATGCCTATAAAACGCTGCAAACTCTTAAAGTGTCAGCGAATCTCCGCGTGATCTTCACCAGTAGCTGAGTGGTTAAGACCGCTGAATATGGGAAGCTTGACCTGGATTCGATCCCAGACGAACGGACTGGCTGCACGACAGGCTTTTCACGTATGTAAATACGTAAATATGAGTAAGTTTCTCTTATAAAATTCTCTACAAAGGCATCTTTTCTCTTCAGCAGATAGCCATTGTGTGCTCTGCCATGTTTAACGTAGTACCTCCGCGTGAAGAAGCAAATTATTGTAACTTTCATCGCTATGGTCATAGAGCTGTCTAAAAAGGCAGTCATTCAGAGCTTTAGTTTTGATAGTATTTGTTGCTTTGATGCATATCTTTAAAACAGTATGAATCTCTTCCTGAATATTTTTCGAAAATAAATATTGTCTATAGAAAAAATCCTGAACAGTCCAAATGTCAGGCATCCTACTTTTTAGATAAGTTAAAAAGCCTCAATGTTTTCCAGTAATCACTGGTGCACCGTCACAAAAAGCTGCAGCAGTGTTGGGCAGGAAAATATCATATTGCAGAAAAATGTTTCCAAAGCAATGAAATATATCTTGTATTCTTTTTTATATTTCGAAAGGCTTTGTGCAAAATAATTCCTTTATTTTTTCCCTTCAGTATAAGTACATATAATTACGCACATAGATCATTTAAAATGCAGTTCTTACCAAAAGTGTGCTGTTCGGCTGTGCAGCAAATTTATCGACCCCTAATTCAGACATAAGTTGTTCGGTGGCTTGGCAAATGCGGTCAAGAGCAGGAGACTGACGTTAATTACGGAAGGGGAAAGTAAACGGCTGTGTCAGTGATCATAAGGGAAGATATATTTAAAAAAAAGTGTTTTTAGGTCTCATTCAGTATCAGTATATCAGAAATAAATGATGCACATGGTATCAGAATGGAGACAAATTACATAAGATACGAAAAGTTATATTTATTTGTTTATTAACATTTCATTATTACATTGTTTTCGTTCAGGAATTTACTTCCACCCCCTCTGGAAGCAATACATACAGGTACATGTAAGTCGGCTGAAAACTGAAAAGCACTGCTATAAACAAATAATCCAACCCAATTCCAGTTGAAACAGCGCTTATTAATACTAATTGTTTACGGAAAGCATCCTAGTTTTTGAAAAGCTTTCGTATCATCTAACATAAAAATTAATTAATTAATCATCTTAAGAATGATTTTGTGTTGAATATGGCAAAAATATGAGGGTTGGCTAGACATGATTTCATGGAGAATTTTCTAAGGAAAATGGGCTCATATTTACATACCTTAAGGAAATCCACGAAAATGCTTACACAAAGTGGTACGTTGTAGTAGGATTTCTTCAATCCATCTGTTAAATTTGCATCTAATTGTCAAGTGCTCCCATCTGTTAAATTTTCATCTAATTGTCAAGTGCTCAATTTTTTTGGCTAGTTTATACATTCAAAGGAAAATACAAGTTACTCATTGAACTTCGCACGTTAGTCTGAATAACCTTTAAACCCGATGAACAGTATATTTCTGTGACAAGGCGAGCTTTCTGACTGTACAATCTGTTTTACATTTAGCGAGCAGCTTGTGCCGAATAAGTTTATTCGCTATTTTATGTAATTTTCTGCAATATTTTGTAATTCTTTTATTTTTTCATTTAAATTTTTATTTTTTTAAAGATAATTTCTTTTTATTCACAAATATTTATATTTTCTATTTTTCTAATAAGTGAAACATTTAATTAGATTCTGATATTTTGTTTTCATAAGATAAAGTACGAAACCTTTGTTAAAATTTTCATTGCTCACTGTAGTTCAGTGACCGTATTTTAATGTGCTATTTTATTCGCAAGTCCGTTCATCCGATTCGAAACTTGGAAATGAATTAACAAATCGATCTTTCCATTCAATTGGTCCTATCGACTTGAATACAGTGAGCCTGAGTAAACGGGAAGTATCTTTCGTAAATATAAAAACCATTATAAGCGCATTTCTAAATAATAATTTTAAAATATAATTTTGACAGCTGTTTGACGCTGCTTCAAAAGATTTCTTAATTATAAATATAAATATATATACTGAAAATTACGAAGAGAATAACACATACGTATCTGTTATTACGAGAATAAGTATTTCTAATGTATGCAATAGGGCAAATTTATTTACTGATCAATTTATTACTTATTGTAATGGATTGGAATATTTGAATATGAATATTAGCTGAATATTTAAGAAAAATATTATGACTGCGAGAATAGGAAAAAAAAACATTTTTTTGAATATTTACTTTCTTATAGAATGCAGATGAATTCATTTTTACTCAACGAAAATCAAATTTAGTAGCTAATTAATTTGTCCTGTATCGAGCACTTTAGTTCAGTGATCCGTATTAATGTGCGCTTTTTTTAAAAAAAAATTTAAATGCTTCAAGAATAATTAGAAAAGGGCATAATTCTCTCTCTTACCCTTAAATTCTTCAATAAAAAAAATGCATTTTCAGCTATAACCAAGTGAAAAAATTTTCTAAATATAATTCAAAGCATGAAAAATAAGGTACATAAACAGCTTGGAAATGGAACTAGCATTGAGATTCTCTTTAAGAAAATATGGTGAAGCTTAACAAAAAGTCTACGAAGTGAAGTAATTCCGTAGAATATTTTCTATGCTCTTTATGATTAAATTTCCACTCAATTATACTTTATAAACGACATGTAAATACTATTTAATGTATATGTGTGGATGTATGTGTGTGTGTGGGCAATCACTAGCGGCTGAGCTGCGTTTGTAAAATCGTTGAACTGCTGGACAGGTCGATCCGGGGTTCGAATCCGGATCGAACGGGATTGGCTGTATTTGCGTTTTTCGAGGTTTTCCCCACGTGTAACGTGCATAAGAGTCAGTTTTTGCTTTAGAAAGTTCTCCACGAGGCACCCTTACCCTTAGGCAAATAGCCGTCGAATGCTTTGCTATAATCAAACAAACCAGACCAAACAATAGATATAAAAATAAGTAGCTTAAAAAACTGCTATATTTTATGTATAATTATCAAGTAGTATTTCAATATATATATTGATTAAAAGAAAGGAAAAGTCGCATCATAAATGATTGTATATAATGTAATCCCTATGAAGGCCCTAACAATTCTTTCTCACTTAAAGTCGTAACCCAAAAAGAGAATAAATTAAATTTCAAATACGTATACAATACCTGAATCTAATACAAAAAATACAAAATATAAAAACTATTATATATGTACGAAACCTAACTAACTATTTATATTGATATTACGTAAATATACGTATGGTAATGAACATTGTATAATAAAGATATTTTATACCTTGTTCTATATTTGCTTCCATTTATATATACCTATACATAGATATATATAATTTAAGGATTCCATTTAAGGATTATAGTAGTAGTTAATACTACTATATAAAACACAAAGTGCATCAATAATGTATTTTTCAGTATTATTTAACTTCATTCTTAAGAATTTTCTGCAGTCTAGTTTGCGTTAACCAAAAAAAAAATTAGAAAATTAACCAAAAAGCAGAGACCACAATGTAATTGAGAAATAGTCCTTAACCGTGAAAAGATTGAAAGCCATTCGGTTATGACTATTATCTCACATACTCAGCTACTTCGCATACATGGAACATAGCATTCGAAATGAAAAACTCAATATTTACTACAAATTCATTCGTGTAACAAATATCTGTCTTTCTACACCTATGGCTTTAAAAAAAGATGTTATTTATCTTACAGTTTATCGTTAAGTAATACATTTTCATTGTACAAAATTGCATTCATTCGAAGAATTCAATTTGTATTTTCCTCTGTATAAAACTGAATGTAGAGAAGTTAGATGTTTTAACGACCCCCACATTTATTCAAGAGCAGGAGCAAGATTATCCCCTGCTTTTCAGCCTCCCCCCGTGAAAAAAAGGATTCTAAATTTACGACCTGACCGCATATGAGGGTATTTCAGCTGTTCAAGTATTTCGATCATTTCATCTACACAATGGTGAACTGTATTGTTACTGAGCGGCAGACGCCGGAGAAATTGGATTCGGTTTCATTTTTACAAGTGTAATTATTACTTCTGAAACTACTACTTGTCGTAATTTTCACCAACTGTGTGGGTATCCTTCCTTCGCAACTAAATAGGAAGTGTTGTATGAAGCTTCGCGTCCTTTTACATAGTTCTTTGATGTCAATGGTTTCAAAAATGGTTTAATTCCTCTCTTTGACGCAACAAAAATTTTATCATTGATACTTTTTAAATTACTCCAAATCGTTTCCCTTTTATCTGCATGCATTCTTTTTAAATGTTCTCTCATTTTTGGCTGTTTCATTGCATCGTTGTTGAAAGTTTTCACAAATGAGACATAAAGGTAATGTTTACGTTTCCGGATGACAAAATAAAGCCTCTCACTAAATATTCTTCAGAATACTGTCGGCATTTACTTATTTCATGCGAAATCGTAAATTTCTGAGAATTCATAAACTTAAATGTCGAAATATAAAAATGGAATTACAGAAACTGACTTACCCATTTTACAAGAGCGTGCAAGTTTTGTATTGCAAAACCGAGAACTACAATATGATTCTGTCGCTATTCTAAGATAGCTGGTATCTCTTCTACTGTGTATTCTTCTCCCTACCCTCCGAGTAACGGTTTCCTCAATAAGAGGTGGTAGCACGGTACAAAGATTTCTTCCCCTGAAAAAAAAAAAAAAAAAAAAATACGCAGCAGTTAGCTTGTAGAGTTTTTGTCAAAGGCAAATATTCATTTACATATTGATGACGGCCATTTGACTAGAACTTCCCTAGCAAGTTTCACCGTAGGGCATGGGTGAAAGAATTATCTTAGATTTTGCTGTTAGTTTTAAATTCTTCGTACTTTTCTTAGTTGTGTTTGCTTGTGTTCGCGCGTTTTACTTTTTTATAATGTACTTATTGCAAGAAAAAATTATATACTTAAAAAAATATATTAATTTTTTTAATGTATATTAAATTTTGTATATTTATTTTATATGATTTCTTCGTTACTATATGATATAGCTTTAAATTAATAAACAATCAATTATACATTTTATTAGTAATTTTGTTGTTAATTGGTGGGATCTTGATTATGCTGATCAGTTGCCTGTATATGTTCGTCTTTCGAACCCTAGTCGATCCTTTGATCCTCGCTTATCCCCTTTAAAATTTTATCAACCGCCATAGTGTCATTATTGACCCCATTGCCAACGCTTTTTGTAAAACGACTGGCAGCCGACATATATTCAGTAATGAGTTATGCAGTTCTCTTTCTTTGCAACTGTGGAATTTAAACCGATAGAGCGGAGAGTTTGTTTTAAAGATTTCTTTTCCTTTTAGAGTTTCTAATTATAAAGTGCTGTTTATATAAAAATGAATGACTGGTCGAAAAACAGATTTTTGCACTGAAACGAAATATCGTTGATAATAACTCTGATTTGGGGTTTGCAACAAATATTTTCAAGAAATCTGTGAGTCTAAGATTTGAAGGCTTGGATGAACATATTGTTCTGATAAAAATTAGTCCGATCAGTAGTAAGAAAATTCCGAATAACAGTCCTATGGATTAACTCATAAGACATGAGAACAACCCTAATCTTCCCAGTATATGCGGGGAAGTTTAATCAAATGGAAGCATGTAACTTACTGTTTCGTCATTTAAAAAACTGAGTGTGCTCATTATAAACGAAATGAAATTACCTTTTTTTTTAAAGACTATCTAAAATGCATAATGTATAAACGTATCCATTGTCAGCATACTTAGATAATGAACTTGTGCTTGAAGCGTTCTGGTATAGAATAAGGTACTGTACTGCTAAAATGTGGTAAAAATTATATAATTGCTGAAGTTTTGACAACTCCTTGTGGTTAAGATAGTGTTCAGTGCATGTTTGGAAATTAATGTGTTCCAAAATTTGGAACGATGCATTTCAAAGAATCAAGGAGATATCTAATATTGCAGAATCGACAGTAATTGAGAAAAAAAAATAGTCCATTCTTCTCTTTACAGGTTGACAAAAGCACAGATGTATCGAAGCTTTCAATCTTGTTTTCATTGAAAGCTATGTAAATAGTAAATTCAGAGAACTATTTCTTATTGAGCTGTCTTTTCACAGGAAGTTGCTCAGGAAAGGACATTTTAATGCAATCAATGATTATTTTTTGTTTTTCTTATTTAATTATGGCAGAACACCAAAGGAGAGGGCTCCGAGACCTGGCAAGCACAAAGCCGCCTTAACATGTGTTTATTATTGCCCCAACCTCCAAAGGCTATCCGAGGGGGCGCCACTAACCCCGGTCAGCCCAGAGTGATTTTAATGTTACACATGGCATGCTTATATAAAACTCTAAAGTACAGTAGTGGACGGCAAGCATCCACCGAAAAACAAACTCACAAGATTGACATCGCCGTCCCTTTGCATTGGCCGAGGGGAACATTTAATTACGATAAAGCACTCGAGGGCTATCTGCCTAAGAGGACGCCTTCACGGAGGACTTTCTAACAGAAACTAGAGGCCTAGCGGTAAAATCACTGAACAGTGGTAATTCGGTTCGGGTTTCAAACCCGGCGAACGGTCTGGCTTTATGAGCGTTTTTGTGGTTTTCTCCATGTGTAAATGTATATACGAGCCAGTTTCCGAAATCTGAAAAAAGGTTCTTAGATTATTTTTGAGAAAAGAATATTAATTGTTGCTATTGCTGTATTGTTTCTTCATTGAAATCTTCATTGAAAGATTGTGATAGTCTCTGGTAGGATGTTACACAGGTATGCGAGGCTGCATCAAAGAAATTCCCCCTCCCCGTAAGTTAATGCTGCATCCATAAGCAAAAGCTAATTTCTAAAACCTTCTCATAGTTGATAGGAAAAGTCGAATCTGTGAAAGTTATTAATTTCACTGAACTCAATGCGGGATAGCTGGAAATTACATCCTTTCAATGAAGGTTTCTTTAATGCAACCTCAAAATTATTTTCTGGGGAAGAATAATTTATAGAGCTTTCGAATGCCTCCTCCTTGAAGATCATTTTTAAAAAAGAGTAATTACTTCTTTTTGGATTCCAACAAGAGAAAAACATGAAGAAATACTTTACAATTCATTAAAATGTTAGTTACCGTTTAAAAGCACTTGTGTGAAAGAGTATTCTCATCTTAAACTTATACTAAAACAACCACCGTAATAAACTAGATGTTGTTTCGTGACTTCAAATAGTTAAGCTGAACGAAGCAGACTCAAGGATTACATAAATAATGAGACTTGAACAACAATTTCAGTCTATTTTCTTAAGGATGTTGTTTAAAGTTTTATTAATTTTTAAGTATTCAGTATGACGCTGTTTTATTCTGCTTGTGTTCAAGTACAATGACTATTAATACTTTTCTCATAGATCGAGTTTTTGTCTTAAATGTACTATCATAATTTAAAATAAAATATTTAAAATAATATTTAAAATAAATGATGTAATATTTTTTCTGTTCTTATTCATCGTACTTTATTAACTTTATGATGTTAAAACAAAACAACATAAGATATACTTTACAAAGTATTAGAGGAGTGTGGAGGGGGTCACATATTTTGAAGGAAAAGTTACGCGTACTTTGTAACTCTATACGTCTTATTAAGAGGTACGTTAAAAAAAAGTTTTGAAATCGTTTCTGTAGAGACATTAGTCCATAGAATGTACTTGTTATCGAAATCAAATGTATTTCTTAAAATGTTTAATTCCATCCAATTAAAAATCATCTTCATCCAATTAAAAATCTCGTTAACTTTAATGTAAGTAAACCCAATTTCTTCACAAGTGTAATTCGGCACATAGCAGCCATGAAACATCACAGTTTTCACTACTTCTATATCTTTACGCACGTAAATGCTGTATAAGCTACTTTGCTTGCATCACAAAATATGTGAAACTATAAGTTATCTGTCTCTGAAACACTACAAAAAACTAGCACAATGAAGAAATGGGAGATAGGGATACAGATTTATCATAAATGTGTAAGCATACGGTCCGATTGAGCAGTCACTTGTTCAGTAAAGATTTGCCTAAAAATTCCTAAATTCTCTGACATTCGATGAAGTGAATACTCTAAAGAAAAGAAGGTGAAAGTAGAATGGAGCCATTTGTCCCAATGGCACTGATGAATGTGAGAAGTAGTTTCAGGAGTAATATTCCAAACATGCTACCACGAAGCAAATGAAATACTAGAATGATAGAAGTGTAAAACACCACACTAGCGACAGACAGGGTCAAGCAGTAAAATCAAACTATGCACAACACAAGTATGCGTATAAAAATTTTAAAATATACAGTGTTGTACAGAGCTCTAATTTCTAAAACACTAATATCACAATGCAGTTAATAACACAAATCTAAAGTAAAAGAAAATTAAATCAAAAACCTGTACATTAATCAGACGTATACTAATGATTACAAATTATTAATCAAAACATCCAGGACCAGGAAAAACAAAAAACAAAAAATTGACAGACTGAAACCGTTGGTATCTCCGAAGCGTAGGGATATCAAACCGGCAAGCTTCGTTAGAAATAGTTACCACAAATTTTTGACTGGCAAATACCAAATTTTAAAGCAAATAAATTACAGGTTATGAAAGGTTTAAAGTTTTTTTCAAAATTTATAACTGATATAGAAGCAGTAATTTCGGAGGTAATGAAATAGTAGCAAATTTTTTATGAAAAAAGTCATAGTTATAATGAAGGATGAATAAGAAAATGAAAATAATTGTTTAAGGAAACAATTAATATTTTAATAGAGCGACAATATTTTGTAATAAATTTTCAGATTATAATTTCCAAACGACTTGTAGTAGCAATGCATCAAAGATTTGAAATCTGGAAACATATTTTGAAAGATTTTCAAATAACTATAACACGAGCGATGAAGAGTTCGAAAAACTTATACCGAATTTAATAAGCAATTGTTAAAATGATTTCTGTGTATGATACTTTACAGACGAAGATACGAATCACTTGGAACATTAGAAAATATTCATTATTCCATGAGTTACGTATCGCATAATAATTGACGGTTTTGGAAAGATATACTCTCATGTTGCATGGAGACAATAGCCAAATTCAACTTAAAAATAAATCAGTAAAAGATCAAATGTCAAATAAATGTTTGTGTTAATTACCATTTGATATATAATTAACATAGTTAGGAATGAAGTTAAAATAAAATATTATTTATGTTTTACTTTATGCTAAGCGACTGCTCAAGAAAGAGCGCAACAGTAAATATTAATCTTTCATTTAAATAGACTATTAATATTAGGAAAGTTTTAACTACCAAACGATAATACTTTTGCCAACTACTCAACTTTTAGCAAATCGGGTTAGGTGAATGAGCGAGATTTTCTGATTTTCAATGCATATAAAAAAAAACGCTTTAAATTTCCTTCAAAAAACTTGTGATAAATAAATCTTATATGTTTTAGTACTATCAGTTATCTAAATTTTAGTATGTAACATGGGTATTTCTCAATTACAACAGCAGTTTCTCCATTATAGCCTATAAAATTAGTAAAACAACATAATATGCAAAATTGCTCAGAATGAAACCAAAAATGGAAATTCCCAGACATTATTTAAGAGAACAACTTCCCAACCCCAAGATAATGTATATATATAAAGAAGAAAATCTGTGTGCTTGTTCGCTATTAATTCAGTCACTACTATAGCTATCACCACCAAACTTTCTATAATTCTTTTCTGAATCCTGAAAAAGATTGAC